GAGAGAGAGAGAGAGAGAGAGAGAGAGGATACTATAAAGAGTTGAAAATTCCGAGAGAAGGATAAATGGATTCAAACTTCCGCAAAAAGTGGGAGAAGTGATTTCCAGAACACAAGTCAACTGAGGTATCTCTTCCTTTGGAATAAAATGCACTGAGGAAAGAGTGGGAGTAGACGGAGATAACTTTACAATTTGAGGTGGAGGCCATTGATGGAGTCTTATCTCGTGGTCTTGCTTTTCCTGGTGAAAGACTTGTCTTTTGAGAGTGGTGAGTGAATGGACAGGGTTGGGGCTTTGAGATGAAAGGGAAGGCTTTGAGAGAGTGACACACTGAGAGCTTTTTCAGTGTTGGGTTTCACTGGAGCTGGAGATAACTAAGCTGCTTGGCTCCAGTTGGCAGGCACCATGTGTAAGAATAGAGAACAGTGACTGGTTGGGCTAGTTTGGGCTTAGGCTTTGCCCCTAGATGCAGTGGGAGGACAAGAGGGCAAGAGAGTCCACGAGGGGGGCACAGAGAGGGTGGATGTGCTGAACCATGCGGTCTAGACAAGAGACAGGAGATGAAATCCAAGGGTATCCGAGAGACTGGAAGAAAACGAGGGGCCTTCAGATAAAAGATCTCAAGGTGGGCAAAGAGCANGGGCTTAGGCTTTGCCCCTAGATGCAGTGGGAGGACAAGAGGGCAAGAGAGTCCACGAGGGGGGCACAGAGAGGGTGGATGTGCTGAACCATGCGGTCTAGACAAGAGACAGGAGATGAAATCCAAGGGTATCCGAGAGACTGGAAGAAAACGAGGGGCCTTCAGATAAAAGATCTCAAGGTGGGCAAAGAGCAGGAGAGGGGGAGGACCGGAAGGGCTGGAGCAGCTGCAGGAGCCGAGGTCCAGTGTGCAGCTGTAGGTGGAGTGGGGTATTGGAAACTTACCGGGTAGGATAAATCATGCCCACTGCTTTCCCCTCCACTTTTTATTAGGGAAAATGGAGGAGCTGAGAGAATCACATAAGGAGCTCCCATGTACTCATCTCTCAGCTTCAACCAACGAATGGACAATCTTGTTCCATGTAGACCACCCAACTCACTTCTCCCCACCTGTGTGCCCCCCTCACAACTTTAAAGCAATTCCCAGACATCAAATTAGTTTGTTTATCTATATTTCAATGTGTAAGTTACAAGGACTTTAGAAAACACACAATTTCATTATCACAGATTTAAAAATCAACATAATTCCCTAGTATCACCAAATATCCAATGTTCAAATTTTCTAAATTTCAAGTTATTTTTCTTTTTAAGCTGACTTACTTGAGTGAAGATCCAAATGAGGTGCACACACTGCATGTCTTTGTTTCCTTTTTCTATTATCTGTGAGTTTCTCACCCCCAGCCCCCAACCCCTCTTTTCTTTTTCTTTGCAATTTGTGTTGGAGGAACCAGGATGTTTGTTCTACACTTTCCCGCCTTCCAGGTTTTGTCAATTACATTCCTGTGGTGTCCTGTAGTGTATTCTCTGACCACTATTTAGAAGTAGAGGCTGGGTCAGATTGAAGCTTGATTAGAGTGGGGGACAATGCCACCGTATAAATGGTGTTGTGCCACATGGATACAAATTTGCTTAAATTTGTCAGCCACAGGAATGAAAGGTGAGACTGTGAGCCTGTGCCAAAGTCCTCAAGGGATGTGAAGAACTGATGAGCACCTTCAAGTGACAGCTAGAGGGAGGGGACGTAGATGGTCTAGTGGCATTCCTGTGCTTCAAGGAAAGTGATGGGGAAAGTGCATAGGCTTGACAAAGTGCCATCATGGAAGCATGGGTGCTAGTCTCACTCCTGGCCCTGTGGTGAAAGAGGAGTGGGAGAAGAAACCCTTCCTATTGAGAAGACTGGGGGGTAAGTAGTATTCTTGCCACAAACCAAGGTTCTAACCAAGCCAAGGAGATGGGAGAGGGAGGGATGGAAGGACAGAGAAGCTGCTTTACCATGAAAAAGAATTAGGGGGAGGGGAGTTGGGGAGAGGTTGAGAGGGTGAGAGGGGGACACAGGGAATCATTGCAATCTGTGATGGAGGGCGTGCTGATGGTATCCATCCGATCATCACATCTTGTGCACAGGTGCTGATGGTCAGCTCGGTGCCCCATGAATATGTACAATCAATAAAAGTAAACAAACAAACAGACAAAAGAATAAATAAGTAAAAGAATTGCCAGAAAAGGTCAGAGGTGGATGTCGTGGAGTTGAGTTGGAGGCAAAACAGAATTTGGATGAAAGAATGAGAATTATGACAAAGGAAAGATGAATGCAAGGACTTGGGTAGTAAT